TATTCCTGACAGCAGCAGTGAGTACGGACATTGCTGTGAAGTATATGGATGTGTCAGCAAGTAATATGACTGGTGAGACTGTTAAAGCAATGGATGTGTTGGTGGTGGGTGGAGGTGAAGGGGTTAATGCTGCTGGCAAGAGTAAAAAGTGACATTTCTCCCCCTGCTCAGCAGAAAGAGGATTCACCATCCAATCTCGTATCTGTACAATCAGTATCTTCTAGAGTTGAACCAGATGCTCCCAGACTCACAGATGTTTCTGCTGCTGGGAGGAATGTGGGGAGCTATGCCTCTGTTTTGGGGGGTTGCACCAAGGGAGGGGTGTAGGGAATGTTGGAAATCCTAATGGTCAGGGAGGTTTGCTGGTGGGGTGGTTGGTGGGTTCAGGAGGAGGAATGTAATACAGTTGAATTAGGAGGGGGAAGGAACCCACCAGTAAGGGGGAGGGTGGCTGAGTTGATTCTGGAGATGGGGTTTAAAGCCTGTGATGTATTTGTGTTGATCTTCCCAGTTGGCAATTATGAATACGATTTATCATTTGTAAAACCTGAAGGCCTGGACCTGTTTTGGGAGAGATATAGGAAGTGCAGGGGCCTTCAGCAGTGGAGAGGTTTGGTGCCATTGATGGTTTCATGGCAGCCTTTGATAAAATTGGTGACAATCCTGGTCCAGAACGACCAGAGGCTGATTTGGTAGTTTGGCTACACCGATATGGCGAGGTCCTCACCCCACTGCGGAAGGTCCTGGATGAGCATAGGATATGGACAGGGGCCTGGACGGTGTCAGTGCAATTGAGGGTGCTGGGCAATGTGGTTCAGCATCTTCCCTGCTCAGCCTTTCTGGGGAGGGATAGGCTGACCATTTTCTATCAAGGTCAGCCTAAAGTTTGTAACAAATGTGGAGAGAAAGGTCATTTTGCATCGTCCTGCACCATAACAAAGTGCTCACTGTGCCAGAATTTAGGCCATTTGGCCAAAGAATGCACCCAGTTTTGGTGTGATTTGTGCCAGCAGCTGGGTCATCCATATAGTCTGTGCCCAGAGACACTATACAACCCGCCAGGACTGGAGGCTGATCTGCAGAGGCTGGATAAAGAAGATGGGGCAGCTGATGCTAGGGAGGAAACTGTAGTTGCACCTCCTGTGTCCATCTGTTATGTCAGATTCTGTTTCCTGTAGTAATGTCACCCCTGAGTCTGTCCCTCCTTTTCCTAATCCTACGGTACGTAGATCCTCCAGAATAGCAGAAGCTGCTGGGGGCGGGTTTAGCGGATCTTCCCTCTCGGCCTACTACACCTCCGGTACCTGTCCCCCCAAAACACAAACGTGGTCAGGAGAGTGTGGGGGTGCTGGATGGGGGTGGAGCCGATGGGGATCAGGGAGGGGTGTCCATGTCCCATGTCTCACCTCCTGCTGGGGAGGATTCTGCTGATGAGGGGTGGGAGAGGGTGAAGGGGAAGAAAAAGAAGAGGATGAGAAGAGCTGTCCTTTCTTCTTAAGAATCAGATCCTGGAGGGGTCCCTCTTGGCAACACCTCTTCAGTTTTGTCAGGTGATGAGATCTGATATATCCATTTCTTTATCATCTATGGATGAGGGGGGAGTCACATACTCTGAAGAGAAATGTTCTGGGTGATGAGAGTGTGGTAGAGGTTAAGAAACGACTACCCCAATCATCCTGATGGCAGTTCCCACTCTGTTAAAGGTGGCGACCGTTAATGTCGCCAGCATTAAATCTGCAAGAGCTCGTGATACGGCCTTATTTTTTCTCAGTGAGTTTGATGCTGAGATTTTATTTTTGCAAGAGGCCTGGCTCAATACATTGGCCGATGTCTATCTAGCAAAAAGGGAGTAGAGATGTGGTCCCTCCTTTTTGGTCTCTTGCAGCTGAACCTTGCAGTCCAGATCAGGGATCTTGGAGATCTTTGGGTCATATTGTGCAGACCTCCTGGAAAGAAAGGACCTTAGCCCGGACAGACTGGAAAGCTTTCTGGATTCTACTCCAGGATTGGGAAATGGTGCATTGCTTTTGATGAATTTGACAGAACCAATTTCAGTGGATGAGGTAGTTCATGCTATAGACAAGCTGGCTACAAAAAAATCACCTGGGCCAGATGGATTGACAGCTGAATTTTACAAGTTTTTCAAGTCCATTCTGGCTCCCTTTTTAGCGGAGGTTTTTAACAGCTGTCTAGAAGAGGGTTCGCTCTCTCCCTCCATGAGGCAATCCGCTGTGATTCTTCTGTCAAAAGGTAATGACCCCTCAATGATTGAGAACTGGCGCCCCATCAGTCTTCTCAATGTTGATAGAAAGATCTTGGCAAAGATTCTTTTTTGGCGCTTGTCGTCAGTAGCAGGCAATTTGTTGTCCAACCATCAGCACTGTTTGGTCCAAGGTAGAAGTACCTTTTCAGCGGTTTTGGCTATCAGGGAGGCTTTGGAACAATGCAGGGCTGCTGGATAGAGAAAGTACTTGCTGGCTTTGGATCAGGCAAAAGCTTTTGATCAAGTGAATCATGAATATCTGTGGTTGCTACTTGGCAGATACGGCCTGCAGGGGAGGTTTATAGATTGGCTGAAGACATTATATAGAGGGGCTGAGAGCTTCCCACTTGTTAATGGTTGGTTTGGATGGCCTTTTTAGGTTGGCTCTGGTGTGCACCAGGGATGTCCTTTGAGCCCCCTGCTATATGCTTTTGCAATCGACCCCTTTGTAAGAAGGCTAGAGGGCGCATCATTGTGCGGGGTGCCTCTAGGAATTGCTGGTGTGCCACCTTTGAAGGTCCTTGCCTATGCTGATGATGTGTCTGTTATTATCTCTGGGACTGAGCAGGCGCAGGGGGTGGTCTCTGTGATAGAGCAGTACATGGAGGCTTCTGGCTCTAAAGTCAACCATGAAAAGAGGAAACTTTGAACTTCCGGATGCCTTCCCAGAGCCACAGCAGGAAACTAAAGTTTTGGGCATCAAATTTGGTCCTGGTGACTATGGTCATCAAAACGGAAAAACAGGTTGGTAGATGCCAATGCCAAAGTAGCAAGCTGGAAGAGATGGAGGCTTTCCTTGAGGGAGAGGGTTGACTTGATCAAAACTTACCTGATCCCGATCTTTTTATATGTCAGCTTTGTCTGTATCTTGCCGGTATATCTCTATGCAAGGGTCTACAGCTGTTTTTTCCAACTGTTATGGGGAAATAGGCTCAACCTGATCAAATGCAATGTAACTTACCTGTCAAGGCAGGAGGGTGGCCTATGAATGGTCAACCCGATAGTTTTCTTTTCTTTGCCCTTTTTAAAGTACAATCTTGGTAATGTGTTAGCAGAGACGCCGCCAGGATGGGTGAGTATTTTTCAGTCTTGGTTTAAGCCTTTTCTGTGATGCTGGGAAGATGGCGGACCAGTGAAAAGTCTGAGAGTCCGACATGGCAAGCTCCCGGCTTATGTTGTCCCATGTCTGAAAATACTTCGGCACGGGCAGGTGACAGTGGAGGATATCAGGTCCCTTTGCAGAAAGCTTCTGGGGGAGAGGATTTTGGCTTCTGCTTTCAGTGTGTCACTGGCCTTAAAGGATTGCCCAGGGTCCATAATGAGGGAGGGATTGCATTTAATTAACTTGGAGAAAACCCCATTGAAGTTTAGGGATCAAGCCTTGCTCGCTTTCCATGGAAGGCTCTATGTGAGAGGGAAACAAAAGCAAAACAGTGCTCACTCTCATCGTGCATTAACGTGGCAAGCCACAAATTTATTTAAAAACATATAGATGTATACTCACAAACCAAAGAGAATAACAACAGAGAAGAAAGGTCCATAATGTCAGTCGAAAGTGATGATAGACCCCAACAAGGGTCTATTGTCACTTTCGACTGACATTACGGACCTTTCTTCTCTGTTGTTATTCTCTTTGGTTTGTGAGTATACATCTATATGTTTTTTAATAAATTTGTGGTTTACCACGTTAATGCACGATGAGAGTGAGCACTGTTTTGCTTTTGTTTACCAGTACCAAGATTTCCCCATCTTCGAAGGGCTGCACCTCTATGTTTGGCATTTAAAGTTTTCTGCATGAAGATTTGAGCGCTGGTTTTGTTTGTACATTTGGATCTATGTGAGAGGGAACCTGAAACACAGCCCTGTGGATGATCGGGATTGTCCTAGAGCAGAGTGTGTTGGTAAAGTGGAGTCTATGGACCACTTTCTGCTCCAGTGTCCCTTTAACATAGAGGTATATAAAAAGGTGGGGAGGGTTCTGGGCATCCCCTTTCTCTATCACATGAGTTATGCAGAGCGGGTGTATGGGGCATTCCCAGCTCGCTAGGACTTTGATTTGGATACACTTTTTCTAGTTAGTATAGTTGTTTGTTACTTCACGTGGAATGCACAGTGTCAGATTACCCTGCAGAAGAATGTCCTCCCTGTTGATTTGGTGGTGCACGATATTCTGGGTAAGTTTGGGAAGATTCGGGGTCTTGAGAAGGGCAGGGAGTCTCGGGCGGTCTGGATAAGGGAGTGGAGGAATATCAAACCTGCCTTTGGTGAACTGTCCATCTCTGGGGAAGGGGCTCTTTTTTTATGCTGTTCTTTTCACTCCCTTAGTTTTTGTTGGTTAGGATATTTTTTCTAAAGAAGGGCTGCATGCATAATGGGGGCGGGGTTGTTTCTTGACCTCTCAGGTTTGATGTCTGGTGTAGTGATGTGAGTTGTAGTAAGATTTATTCCCCCAGTTATGAAGTTCATTTCTGCGAGTTTTGCTTTTGTCTGACAGCAGATTTTGCTATATTTATTTTTGTTTTTGTGTAAATATGTATATAATTATTTATTTTTGTATATTCTGTATATTATTTTATGTTTATTGATTGCAAGACTTTTAAAAAAGAAAAATTGGGAAGAATGCTCCTTACATTATTGATCAATGGGAAGAATGCCCCTTACATTGGTGGTCAGTGGGAAGAATGTCCCTTACATTATTGATCAATGGGAAGAATGTCCCTTACATTGGTGATCAGTGGGAAGAATGTCCCTTACATTGGTGGTCAGTGGGAAGAATGTCCCTTACATTGGTGATCAGTGGGAAGAATGTCCCTTACATTGGGGGTCAGTGGAAAGGATGCCCCTTAGATTGGAGGTCAGTGGGAAGAATGTCCCTTACATTGGGAGTTAGTGGGAAGAATGTCCCTTACATTGGAGGTCAGTGGGAAGAATGTCCCTTACATTGGGGGTCAGTGGGAAGAATGTCCCTTACATTGGAGGTCAGTGGGAAGAATGTCCCTTACATTGGGGGGTCAGTGGGAAGAATGTCCCTTACATTGGGGGTCAGTGGGAAGAATGTTCCTTACATTGGAGGTCAGTGGGAAGAATGCCCCTTACATTGGTGGTCAGTGGGAAGAATGTCCCTTACATTGGTGGTCAGTGGAAAGGATGCCCCTTACATTGGTGGTCAGTGGGAAGAATGCCCCTTACATTGGTGGTCAGTGGGAAGAATGCCCCTTACATTGGTGGTCAGTGGGAAGAATGTCCCTTACATTGGTGGTCAATGGGAAGAATGTCCCTTACATTGGTGGTCAATGGGAAGAATGTCCCTTACATTGGGGTCAGTGGGAAGAATGTCCCTCACTTTGGGAGTTAGTGGGAAGAATGTCCCTTACATTGGAGGTCAGTGGGAAGAACGTCCCTTACATTGGAGGTCAGTGGGAAGAATGTCCCTTACATTGGGAGTTAGTGGGAAGAATGTCCCTTACATTGGGGGGTTAGTGGGAAGAACGTCCCTTCATTGGAGGTCAGTGGGAAGAATGTCCTTTACATTGGTGATCAGTGGGATGAATGTCCCTTACATTGGTGGTCAGTGGGAAGAGTGCCCCTTACATTGGTGGTCAGTTGGAAGAATGTCCCTTACATTGGTAATAAGTGGGTAGAATGCGGCTTACATTTGTAGACATGGAGAAGAATCTTCTAATATTGGTAATCAGTGGAAAGAATGATCCTTCCATTGGGGCCATTGGGAAGAATCCTCCCCTGACAGGTAGCTAAAAGATTATTGTTGTAAATGGTTTCTCATTTGACCAACAGCAGTTGCTCATTGCTCAAGGAAGCCCTAGCAACCTATGGAGGAACCCTAGGGTTTCATGGAGCTCTGGTTGGGAAAAACTGTTCTGGTGACTGGAGAACCCCAAGAGATCAGCAGTGACTGAAATACTCAAACCGGCCAATTTGGTATCATCATTTGTGCCACGGTCATAATCACTGAGATCATATTTATACCCATTCTGGTGCTTAACATGAATAGTAGGGCTTCATTCACCCAGTGATTAGGCTGCTACATTCAGATGTGACTAAACGTGGATGTGCCATTGCTCAATGTGGCTGTTCACACACCTCGTGTTTATAGAACCCAAGTTTCTCTGCATACTCTCAGCACAGAATAGCAATGCACCATGGACACATATGTGGGCACATGGGTGTTAAGACCTGCCCGTCCCGTCCTGCTGCACACGTGGCCCTTTGGTGTTTGAAGTGCAGCCCTTAGAGGGAATATTGATTTGACTAAATGTGGATTTGACTAAACATGGATGTGCCATTGCTCAATGTGGCTGTTCACACACCTCATGTTCATGGAGCCCAAGTTTATCTGATGCTCTCAGCACAGAATAGCAGTGCACCATGGACACATATGTGGGGCACATGGGTGTTAAGACCTGCCTGTCCCATCCTGCCGCACACATGGCCCTTTGTTGTTTGAAGTGCAGCCCTTAGAGGGAACATTGATTTTTAACGGGTCCTTTAATTGCAGTAAAGTCTAAAGGTTTCATGCAACATGTCCCTACTCTCTGATGGTCTCCTATTGCATGGCTTCAGTTTACAACCTCTCCAGTAGAACAATCTCTGACCATTTCTTCTAAGTCTTGAGTCTGTAACAGATTTCTATAGCGTCACATGTAGTAAATAATATATGCAACTCTTTGGAGACCTCAGGGGCCGCATTTGAGGCCCCCTTTACCTTGCAAGTTGACAGCCACTGTATTAGATGGACATCAAGAGGTTACGGCTTTTTCATAGATGTATAATGACGTTAACAATGTGATAAGTTCCAATCGCTTACATATTTTATCATGTTGCAGATCAATGTGTGATGAAGATATGGAGGTCCCTTCCCTGGTGAGCCCAGGATAATTCTCTGCCATTAGTTACCATAATATTCCTTGATCAGTGCTGACTACAAATAATATATAAAAAATCATTTGAGCCTGTGATAATATCAAACATTGTATCTTACCTTCCTCCTTGCCATAAGCTGCCGTCAGTTGGTGGAGGAGACAGACGGTGATCAGTAGATAAGACCCCAGTGCAGACATGGCAGGCGGACCCCCAGCTACAGTCAGTGTGCGCAGTGCTCCGTCTTATCACTGCCTGTTCTGTATATCACACCGACAGAGGAAGCAACTTAATAAGATTCTGACCAACACGTATGAGAGAGTTATTCTTCCTCTTTTGTGGTAAAGTAAAGGTCTGCTCAATATGCTGAAAACCAAAAATTCTTAAAACTCAACAAGCCGAATGTGATGTCCCTGGTCATTATCACAGCTTCTCCATGGCCAGTAGACCTCAGGATCCCCCATTTCATAAATCCACATGTACACGGGAGAATTGATGGAGAGTGTTAAATCCATCGAGGAACTGATAATTCTATGTACAAGACATTACAGCTACAGATCATTTACAGAGCCCCAGTCCAGAAATGTGACCAGCCTCAGCATAACCTGATAGCAGAGGTTATGTTGGCCAGAATGTTGGCCGGAATGTTGGCCAACTCTTTCATGAGTAGACAAGATGTTTTCATTATCTGAAGACCAAGTTCACAAATGCTCCATGGAAAGCCAAGTAGTCCACCAACGCGCCGGCTCTTCTGGTAAATTCCAGATTTGCTAAACTATCCACTTGTGGAATCTGCTAAAAAGTAAGAGGATCCCCCTAATTTACCTTCAATTCAGTTTTATAAAATCCAGCGCAGTCATACTGCAGTCTACCACTGCCATCGGCTGGCCAGATCTGGCTTTAGACAATGGCCAAAATGCTGCAGAGGAGGAGAGATAGGAGAAGGCTATGCTCTGCACCCCCTCCCCCTTGCCCACTAATAAAACTGGACTGGAAAGTTTGTGGTTAAAGTCTGCTGTTGACTAAGGTCACTGAGCCAGTCCAGGCTTTGGAGAGAGCTCGACTCTAAAGTTCTCCAGTTCTCCAGTGGGAATTCTGTCTTTCTGTCCACTGACTGATCTGCTACTAAATAGCGTTCACTGACTGCAATGCCACTGCATACTGCTAACGTATTGGCACTACATACTGCTCACTGACTGTTCTGCCATTACATATTTCTCACTGATCACCCTGCTGCTATGTACTGCTCACAGACCACCCTGACAATATGTACTGCTCCCTGACCTCCCTGCACCTACGTTCTGCTCACTGACTGCCCTGCCCCTACGTACTGCTCACTGACCGCCCTGCCCCTACATACTGCTCACTAATCACCCTGTTGCTACATACTGCTCACAGACAACCTGCCAATATGTACTGCTCACTGACTTCCCTTCCACTACATACTGCTCACGATTGCCCTGCCACTACTGCTCACTGACCACCACTCCGCCACTATATACTGCTCACTGACAGCCCTGCCACTACTGATTACTGACCGACCTGCCACTACAAACTGTTAACTGACAGCACTGTCACTACTGCTCACTGACCACCTTGCCACTACATACTGCTCACTGACTGCTATGCCACTACATACTGCTCACTGACTGCCCTGCCACTACCTACTGCTCACTGACTGCCCTGCCACTACTGATCACTGAATACCCTACCACTACAGTAAGTTCACTAACCACCCTTCCACTACTAATCACTGACTGCCCTGCCACTACCTACTGCTCACTGACTGCCCTGCCACTACTAATCACTGACTGCCCTGCCACTACACACTGCTCACTGACCGCCCTGCCACTACTGATAATCTACCAACCTGTCATTACATACTACTCACTGACTGGCCTGCCACTACTGATCACCGACCGCCCTCCCACTACATACTGCTTACAGACTGCCCTGCCACTACTGGTCATGACTGCCCTGCCACTACATACTTTTCTCCCTGTCACTACTAAGCACTGACCGCCCTGCCACTACATACTGCTCACTGACTGCCTACTACTACATGCTGCTCACTGACCGTCTACTACTACATACTGCTCACTGACCGTCCTGCCACTACATACTGCTCACTGTCCACCCACTACTACATACAGCTCACTGACCGCCTACTACTACATACTGCTCACTGACCGTCTACTACTACATACTGCTCACTGACCGCCTACTACTACATACAGCTCACTGACCGCCTACTACTACATACTGCTCACTGACCGCCTACTACTACATACTGCTCACTGATCGCCTACTACTACATACTGCTCACTGACCGCCTACTACTACATACTGCTCACTGATCACCTACTACTACATACTGCTCACTGATCACCTACTACTACATACTGCTCACTGACCGCCTACTACTACATACTGCTCACTGACCGCCTACTACTACATACTGCTCACTGATCGCCTACTACTACATACTGCTCACTGATCGCCTACTACTACATACTGCTCACTGATCGCCTACTACTACATACTGCTCACTGACCGCCTACTACTACATACTGCTCACTGACCGCCTACTACTACATACTGCTCACTGACCGCCTACTACTACATACTGCTCACTGATCGCCTACTACTACATACTGCTCACTGTCCGCCTACTACTACATACTGCTCACTGACCGCCCTGCCACTACATACTGCTCACTGACTGCCCTGCCACTACATACTGCTCACTGAACGCCCTGCCACTACATACTGCTCACTGAACGCCCTGCCACTACATACTGCTCACTGAACGCCCTGCCACTACATAATGCTTGCTGATTTGAATATTGTACAAAGGCGCTCTGCATCACAAACTACTTACCTCAGAACTCTCTCACAAACAACATTTTAGGCCTCATTCACAGGGTCATAGTAAAGTGTCTACCCATGTTTGTCCGCACAGGGTGCACAGGTATCCCATGCATGCAGCACTCCTCTTCATGTCAATTTGGATGCAGCAGCTGCACAGACACAGTTGCTGCTTCCAATCTGATGTTCATGTGGGTTTCAGGTAGGCCTGGACTGGGACAAAAAATAGGCCCAGGCATTTCAGAATGAGCAGCCAATTTTTCTAGGGACTAGGGGGGTGTTCACGGGGGTGGCTGGTGATGGGATACCCTCCTGTCATCCACAGGGCAGGGGGCAGGAGGAGCTGCAGATCTGGATCATATTAACAAATATAAATAGACTCCCGTTCTCTGTGCAGATCTCCAGCCCCCCCCGCTCTGCTAAAAGGATGACATTGTTGGTGGTGGGGCGGGAGAGCTGGAGGTCAGCGGCAGGTGTCTGTGTTAACCCCGTCTGGAGAGCGGTTGCTGCTTACCTCCCCGCTGTGCGGCCTGGTCATCAACAGGCTGCGGCCTGATGGTTGGAGACACCTACATTAGCCAGTCTTGGCCTAGTCACTGCTCCCCCTGCACCAGTGCAACCGCTACATCTGTCTGCTGCATCTCCCCAACTGTCGAGGTGCTGCCTTCTCCACCACTTCCTATATGCCAATGTGATGTCCACCAGGCTCCTGCTGCAATCCCACTCACTCTCCTGCAGGTTTGATCTCCCTCTCCTCCAGCCGCTCTCTCCTCCATGATGTCCACCAAACACCCACTACAAACAATTCCTGATCTCCTCTTGCTCCTGTCCAATTTGGCCTCACTGTTTCACTGCTCCGGCCCCACCGCTCCAGCACCTTCGGCCATTCAGCTCCAGCACCTCTGGCCCTGCTGCTCATTGCTCTAGCACCTCCGGTCTTTGCTGCTCTAGCACCTCCAGCCTTACTGCTCCAGCACCTCTGGCCTTGCCGCTCACCGCTCTAGCACCTCCGGCCATATTGCTCCAGCATCTCCAGCCTTA